GCACAGCCCAGGCAGCTTGGAGTAAGACGAGCTTTTGTGCCTGGAGTCAAGCCCATTTTAGCTGCTAAGAAGGCAAGTTGGTCTCTTTCCTTTTTTAAACTTACTTTTTGATATTCCATTTATGTTCCAGATGGTGAGGTGGCCGAGAGGCAACCTGCAGATAAGTGAGGCCCACGATTCATCATCACACACCGATAACGCTGACACCTGACAGCTTGTGTATCTTACCAAAGGCAACACGGCCTAACAGAAATGAACGGCCTGTGTAGTAAGCTCAGAACGTTGGTCAGAGCCTGTCCTCTTAAACGTGGTTCCTTTGTTTCCAACCTTTCCCAACAGAATCTTCGGTGACATTGTCAGAAAGAGTAATGACCTCAAGCATGAACCACCGGCCATTGTGGACGAGGAGCTCAACTACACACGGGTGGCCGCACACGGTTGTTTCTCTGGCCCTAACAGCACATGGGAGAGTGAAATCCCAGTGTGGCTCTCAAGGAGAGGCTGGCAGCCGGGGAGACCAGACACAGTCATGGTAAATTTCTGCAGCGATCACGCCTCACCCTGTGCAGAGCCCCTCGTGGCCACGACCTTCACCGGCGCCTCCTTGGGCTCCCCCCACCCCTCCGCTGGCGCCACCCACCGGTATCAGCAGCCAATGCTGGTGAAGTGACCACACAAACATCTCTAACTGCGGGCCTCTGGCGAGATTCCCCAGGAGCACAACGTGGGGGACATGGCACGAGTTTTGGTTAGAAGTTGCCCTTACTAGGTAAAAACATCAGTTATCATAATGACTCTTAAAAATACAATCAAGGAGTAAAAAATCTTTTAAAAGCAGAGATGTAAACCTGATCTGTCTTCTGGACAGACTGACTCCATGAGGCAACCACCAGCTGATCTTACACAGCAGGAGAGAGATGTTGCAGTGAGGATTTATTTTTCACACTTTTCTTTCACGAAGTCAGGTCACTGCGTATTTTGGGGTAGACTTCTTTTGGGAGACACATTTAAATCCTTTTATTACTAAAGATTTATTGATATATTTATATATATTTTTTCTACTTGATGAAAATAAACATGTAATGAGAATTAGAAACCTGAAAAGCTGCCCTGGCCAGTGTGGCTCAGATGGTTTGAGCATCGTCTTGTAACCGAAAGGTCACCAGTTTGACTTCTGGTCAGGGCACGTGCCTAGGTTGTGGGTTCAAGTCCCAGCTGGGGCACATGCAGGAGACAGCTGACAGGTGTTTCTCACTCTCACATCCATGTTTCTCTCTCTCTCCTTTCCCCACGCTCTCGAATGAGAATAGAAAATTAAAGTTAAAAGAAAAAAAGAAACCTGAGACGTTCAAGGTGCAATATAAAAATGGAAATAATGAAACAGCGGGGATCCCATACAAGTATTCCTGAATTACTCTATCATCTTGTTCTTTAAAAGAGGATTCTCTCTGAATGATGTTTGCTGGTGGACCATCATGGGGCAACGATGTCAGGAAACTGACACAGTCCCAGAGTCATGATACGACACACACACACATGCTTTGCAGCGCTTACCTCAGAGATTGACTAGACAGCACAACGGAATTACAAGCAACCAGAAAATAAGCTTCCCGAAATGTTGTGTTCTAATGATTCTGTAGTGTTTTGCCATAAGACATTTAAGAAAAGCAACAAGCAACGGCACTTATGTTGTCTCCAGCCACCTCCGCGCACGCAGCACGCCGACTAGAACGCGCTGTGATGACAGCTGCTCGCCGTCTGCACCGCCACTTGGCGGCTCGTGGGAGTGGAACTGTGCTGCTCCCCCCCGAGAATATAGGTTGAGCCCCAACCCCAGGTGTCTGTGAATGCAGCCTTATTCAGAATTAGGTCCTGGCAGATGTATTAAGGTGTGGTCATACTCGGCTAGGGTGGGCCCTAAATCCAATGTCATGGGTATCCTTCTAAGGTGAGATGACGAGAGAGAGACACAGAGGGAAGGCCTTGGCCACGTGAAAATGGAACGATGCCACTGCCAGCCGACACCGGGGATCGCCAGCAACTGCCAGAGCTGCGCGCAGCGGGGGAGCACGGCTCTGCCAGCACCTTGATTTGGGACTTGAAGCCTCCAGAACCATGAGAACAAACCCCTGTTGTCTTAAGTCGCCCAGGTTGTGGTAGTGCTAGGGTTACAGCAGCCCTAGAAAATGAATACAGTAGCCAAGAGCCCCATGTGGCCACTGAGCACTCACGTAGCTAGTGAAGCTGAGGAACTAAATTTAAATTTTAAATTAGGCACACGTAGCTAGTGGCAACCTTCTTGGATAGGGCTGCTTTATCAGTTTGCGGGACTTCCACCACAGTTTTATAAATTCAAATGCTTTATCAAGCGATTCTTTGGACTAAAACTGAGAATAAATCATACCGTTACTAGTGAGTTTTAAGCACACACACTCTGTACACACTTCCATTTGCTTTAATCGTCAGTAAAATAACATCAGTAACAGTTTCCAAGTTACAGTCCGGTCCTCTCTCAATTATTTTAAAATATGCTGGAAAGGTGCAGAATACTGTCCACATACAAATGAGCTGAGAGTCTTAAGCTCTGAATTCACAAACCTAAAATGCTGTTTTTCTTTTCTCATGATCAGAAAGTTCCATTAGTTAAGACTCAGTGCTATTCAGACTCACTGAATACTGAATTAACAAAGTGTGATGAACTGGACTTCATGAAGTATTCATGAGTTCTCATTTAACGCTAATTATTATTTTTTTAAAAAGACCTACATTAAATGATTTTAAGACTCTGGCACAAACTGGACGAAAATATGAAAAACTAAGGTTTAGGGGAAAATATGATCCAAAATCATATAGTTGAATCATGCAAACTAAGAGCCCATTTATACCTTTTTGGTGTATGGCTCTAGCTGGTGAACATTTAAATAAATAAAATTTAGAAACCACTTTTTATCAGCTTTAATCAAACTACAGTGATCAAAGAAACAGATATTTGTGCTGGCCATTAGGAGTCTGCTTTGTGCATGCCAGACAAGCAGGGACTGTCACCTCTCCAAGGTGGCTGAAACATTTATGGGGAGTGCCATATTAAAGGGTAATTGACTATTAAAACTCACCAATGCCACGGGACATTAAGATTTGCTACGCTAGGTCTTTTTTAACAGCGCCTCTATTTGGAATTTGCTTCTTTATATTATAGGTGAGATGTGATGAGGAAACCAACCTATAAAAAATCTGCAAGCGATTTTGAAGCTCCAAAAAAATAAAAATCTGGCATATAAAACATATTCAGCAAATTTAATTCTTGGTCTAACTGAAACAGTTAATGGGGAATATTTTCTAGATAAGACTGAATTGAGGCTACCGACTGTGACAACCAACTGCATTAAAAAAAATGCAATTTTACTTGGAACTAAATCTCAAAATATTTTAACAAGGAAAAAAAGTCCTGGCCGGTGTGACTCAGTTGGTTAGAGCATTGTCCCATAAACCAAAGGGCTGTGGGTTCGATTCCTGGTTGGGTCCATACCCAAGTTGTGGCCCCAAGCCCTGGTTGGTCAGGGTGTGTAGGAGAAGGCAACTGATTGACGTTTCTCTCTCACATCGATGGTTCTCTCCTTCCCCCCCCCCCACCCCCTTCCCTTCTCTCTAGAATCAATGGCCATGTTCTCAGGTGTGGATTGAAAAAAAAGAAAAGAAAAAATGTATTTTTAAAACTAAAAAATTTAGCTAAATTAATAACAGTGGTATAACCAGTTACCCACCATTCCCACTGTACCCATTTTAAAGGCCTTTGTTCTGTAAAGAATGAATGAGCAAAATCTTAATTCATTTTAAATAACTTTAAGCTTTTAGGACAGACATTTTCTAAATGAAAATTTTAGACGAGTGTAAACTATAAAAATAGTAGCGTAGCCCTCCCAGAAGATATTTATGTGAGGGACATTGAGCGGAGGTGAACGAAGTTTTAAAAGCTACACATTTCCTGACTCTTTAAGGAAAAAGAAAATTCCTCATTCAGTGAAAAGCAAAGGTAGTCAGAGACGACAAAGTTTTAGACCAAGTTTTACAAAGAGCTGATAAAAACTATTAATGCTGGCCAATTACAACCTATTACCCATAAGGCGGGGGGGTTAAAGTCTTACGCTCCCTTTCTCAAAAAACAATAGACACTGTGGAATATTATACAGCCATTAAAACGGCATTCTTTCCTCCTTTATTTGCATATTCACAGTATGTTAAAAATGCTCAAGTATATCAAATAGCTAAAAAAAATTTTGGAACAATATACATGGCATGATTCAAATTTTATTTAAAAATAAAACAAACTGCATACATACACATAGATAGAAAAAAAGTTTGAAAGACTATTCACCCAAATTGTGGAGGGATTGTGACTTTTTCCTGCATACTTTTGTATATTGTCTGAATATTCCCCAGTGAACACTTTCCATTTCAAGGAAGAAAACAGCAAGCTATTTCTATTCTGGAGAAAGTATCAGTAGGAATTGTAACTAATATTTAAATAACTGAGAAAAGTAGATTCATTTGATCACAAACCTACCAGGATCCTCTTAACTGTAAAAAGACAAACACTTGGAAATGTGTTCCGCAAACACACTGTGGACTGCTACAAACAATAAAGCGCACTTTGCCATATGAGATATTTATGAAAATTTCTCTAAACTTTTTAAGACAAATTATATTCGAGTTTGCAATGGAAATCTTACTTCAAATCCCTCTGGGTAAAGTAATGTCTAGTCCTTGTGAAAATCCAGACTTTTTGCTTAAGGAGACACTTATTTTACTTTTATTTATTCCTGAGAAAGGAATCCATCATGTGTTGATTTCAGTCACTAAATGGTCTGGAATCCCAATTACTGAAAGTTAAATGTTAGGGTGTGCACAGGCTTCACCTCCGTTTTCTGCATATTCACTCAGGTAAAATGCATTCAAGAACTTAAAAGACAACAATATCTATCTTTTATATATTGACCAGCAAGAGCCACTGCAGATAGAAACAGCTTTATTTTTTTTCCGCTCAAGCATTTTCCAGCGAACTGTTCAGAGAGCATATCCAATAGCAAAAAAATATAACATGCAATCAAACTTGTTTGGTCTTACAGTTACTGTCTTCTTTTGGAAAAGAACACATCTGAACTTCTAATTTTAAACATCGCCCAATTACATTCATTTTATTTCCCTCTTTTCTTTAAAGTTAGCAAGAAACAGATTCAGTTTAGGTAACTGGCCATCATATTCTTTCTCATCTTTATTCATACTAAAGTAATAATATAAAGCCTATAAAATCAGACCATATATTGTTCAGAAATCTGAAAAGGTTCATTTACATAAAAGATCCCAATATGTTAAGCAACCATACACAACTGATATTTTGCAAAATGGATAAAAAGATAAGCTGTTTGAAAGCAAACATAATTTTAATTAAATGAATAATATATTTATCTGATAATAGCTTCTATCTTTTAGAAAATAAGTGCGCACAGTACACTTTTTAAAAATAAGAGAACAAAAATCTCAACAGAACTGAAATAATTTAAATAAAGATAGTAGCATGGAGAATCTCTATTACATTTTTGTCCCAAGACAGGAAGGTAGGTATGAATTTATTTGAAATCAGAAAGGGGTTAAGCACTAAGATTATAAATGCAAAGCTTCCAGCTTTGAAAAGCTAAGAGCTGTCCTTGAAAGGTTCTTGTGTCCGTCTTTAGATGAAAGCTATTACCATAAAATCGGATTTCTGAGCCAGATTGCTTGTCAGCTGACAAGGCCAGCTCTCTGTCCTTGACTGTCCTACTTCGACCCACTATCAGCACTCGGCTTGACTCAAAAGAACAAGTGAAGTGTCTTTTCAAGAAGCGTTGCTTATTAGGATCAATACACTATCTGTTCTAAAAAAAACAAAAAACAAAAAAAACCCCAACACATGAGTATGACAACCAAAATGCCACCCGCAGGGACAGCACCACAGTCCCCAGACCCCTCTGAAGGAACCCTAGGTGGAATTCCGCAGGCAGAAACCAGCATTGTGTAAGATTCAGGTTTTCTCTTCATCTGCTCCTCAAGAGCTGCGATCTCTGTAAATACCACTCTACCTGCTACGCACGCAGACGAAGCCAGCTGCGGAGTCCAGTCTGGCCCTCCCCTTGCCACAGGCCCCAGGGCCAGACCCAGCCTCGCTGTGACGATGCCCAGGTTACGCACAACACTCCTAAAATCCTAGCTTGGAACTTCTTCCAAGTTCAGAGTCCACAGCTTACTGCTGAGAGGAAACATAGCAGGTAAAGCGTGATTCTATTTATATTAAAATTATATATATTGTGTGTGTGTGCGTATGACAACTCTTTTTTGTATGGTAGGATTTCCCGTTATTTTTACTTCCTTATTTATATTTTTCTTAATATTTTAATTGCTCACAGTATCATTTTTGTAAGCCAAAAAATTAAGCTATTTTCATTTTAGAGGGAGAAAGAAAAAATTTTCTACAGATTCTGAAAGTAATTCCAAATAAGAATCGATCAAATGCTCTTGGGAGATTATTTTGAGGAAGAAAATTCCAGAAGAACGTGAACTTCACGCTATCAGAGAAAATACCTTTACTGACGACTCTGTCCCCAGTTACCCAAGTATTTTTGCATGTGGCAGCTGTCTGAATAAATGCACTTTTGGATGTTGAACTTCTAGACAGTTGACTTTTAAAATCAGTGTTTTATGAGCCTGCCTTTTATTCTAACTGGCTGGAATTATTTTATAATGTTTTATTCAGTGCATTTAGAAGAAAAATTTTAAGTCAGTAGTGAGATTTGAACTACTGAGCTTTATAATGTAGTTTGCAAGTAGATCCACCAACGAGGAAGAGACAAATGGGCGAATGGGGGCCGAGCAGCTGGCGGCGGGAGACGGGGATCGGCTGAGAAGGTGCCCAGGAAAAGAACCCGCCTGCCCGTGCCCCATCTCTGCCCAGCTCCCCGCAACTTCTGCCCGGCACAGCGCCTGCCGCCTTGACAGTGGCAGACAAGGGACATTTGCTCCCTGGACAAAGGGCCAAACAAAAGAAGGCAAGAGGACAAGAGGGCAGCCTCTGCTTCGAGTGACCAGGGTAGCACCTCCTCTATGATGCCCAAATCCAAGGGCAAGAAATGGAGTTTCACCTCTTTCCCTGGAACAGAGGTCAGAATGGCTCCTCCTCAACTGAACATGCCTTGCAGCCTAGCCATAAAAGTATGTAGTCAGGTTATTAACTAATTCTTAATCCATAGCCAAAGACAAGGGTCCTGCTTTCCAAGGAATGAGGCCTAGGTGAGGGCAGGAGCCTACACTTTTCTTTAAAAACTCCATTTCTTAGATTTTTTTTAACATAGAGCAAATTATATATTAGGTAACTTGAGCAAATATCTATTTCATTGTCCAAACTGGGAGACTGTGAGAGTAAAGGGAGCACTAGTAATAATTTTCCTAGGGGAAAAAAATCAGGCCAAGGCAGCCGGCGCGGACAGGGTCGTCCGGGGTGGACAGGCAAGCACCCAGCATCGAGGCGTCTGCTGGGAGTATTCGCACGCCCTTTTCTCGAGTTCTCTATTAAGCTGCGTCACATTCAGCAGCGACTGAGTTGTGAAGGCTGAGTAACAGCACAGCTTTGTTCTCTTGAGAAGACATTTTCTAAGTGACGAAAAAGACTCCCCCCCCCTTCTTCCGCACATTTAGGGTTTGTTTGTTTGTTTAACATAAACTAATGTTTTCAATGAATCTGAGGAAAGAGTCTGTTCTGATTTCTTACAGAATAAAAAAGCACAACTGTAATTTAAATTGTTTAAGATGCACATATTGATTTTACTTTTCAAAATATTAACAATAGGGAAGTTTACCATAACTTGTTCATAAAACCAACTTCCAAAATGATAAACCCCAATTATGAGGCTAGGTCATATATTTTTAAAATCTTTATATTAACCATGAGATTCTCACAAATACATCACCACAAACAGCTTAGGAAAGCCACGTAATAGTCAAAACAAGAACGTCAGACCTGGGGTGGGCACGGGCCCCCCCACCCCCGAGTAATGCACCTGGGCGCAGCGCCCGCCTCCAGCCCCAGGCAGGTGCGGGCTCAGTTCCTGAACAGCAGCATCCGCTCGGCACACGCCTGCCCCACCAGGCTCGCGTACTGCAGCACCGCGGCCTCCTCGCCGGGGTCTCTCCGTTGCTTCTTATATACGCCGTACGGCATTATGGCTTTCTTGTAAAACACTTGCAAACGGTCGGGTTTCCTACTGCGACCTTCGTCCACTGCAATGACAAGGAGACGCTGATGAAGAAAAGTCATGCAAAAAGTACTTTTCATTTCCTAATTTTAAAGTACTTATCTGAAAGATAAAAATGAAGTATTGAGATGTCCTCCTGGGGTAGTATGCTCAGACAACGGTGCAGAGCATCAACACTGAGGCACCCTGAGTATGTTGGAAGGTAATAAAATACCATCAGGGAGAAACAAAGAAGTGCACGCACTTAAAAAAACTGGCAGTCAACACCTTTGTTATTTTCTCATAACAATAAAGATTACAACTCTGGCATCTTTCCTGAGCCTGTCTGCAGTTTATTTGCATATCCTCGAGCCAGTGCCATCTGAGGCTCCCACCTCCACGCCGAGCATCCTGTGGCCTCGGCGGCCTGTGCTGGCAGCTGTGGACGGCGGGCCCTCCTGGTCTGTGGGCAGGGCAGATCCTCATGGTCTCCACGGAAGAAATGGCAGAGAGACTGCCAGAGGCCACGGCTCACAGGTCTCCTCCCCCGCAACATAAAAGAATGCCTGGATTTGCGCAGGGGCTCACTGGTCCCCCAGAGCATAGCCTGCTTCTCAGCGGCTGGGCGTGACCCGTGGCCAGGCACTGGCTCAGACAGCCCAAGCTGAAGTCCCTGTGGTACTTCCTCCACTCTGAGGGATGGCGCAAGGACATCCTGGCAGGAGATCCAGCCTCTGTTGTGGAGCTGAAGGCTAGGGGCTTCCACCCATTTCAACAAAAACAAAATCAAGGAGGAGCCGGGGTACATGAGGACTTTGTGGAACAAAAGAGCCAGCCCCCGGGACTGCCCACGTCTAGAACTTTACAGAAAACAGAAATAAACCACCCTGTTTAAGCCAACTTATTTGTGTTTCCATTACTGGCAACTGCTCCTAATTCTAACGTAGGGAACGATGTTATGACACCCAGTAAGACGTTCAATGCCTTTTATCACTGACCGAGCTAGGCCACTTCTAAGACTCACCCGAAGGCGGTGGTTCCCTGACAACACAAAAATATAAAAACCTGACTCCCATGCCCAGAGATCCCGATTTGAAAACTGGTCTGAACAGAACCTGGGCATCAGTAGTTTCTTGAGCCTTTTCAAGTAGACAGAGAACCACTGTCCCAGAAGCACGCACACCGGTGTGTGCACATGCACAGCAGGGTGCTGGCCGAAATGCGCTGCGATGCTGAAAACCCGGAAGCAGCCTGCATGGCCACCCGTGGAGAACTGGTTAAGTACGGTACGGTATATCCATATGATAAAATGTTACGTAGTCATTAAATACTCAAAGCAAGAAAATTAGGCACACACACACACAAAAAAAGTAGCTGCAGTGCAGATAACTGTTCTTTTTGTCCCTCTTGCTTCATCAGATCGCTTCAAAAGTCGGCTTCTCCGGCACCCTCCCCTGTTCTCCTTTATCTTCCTTCATTGCAAGTCCCACCCCCGACACAGATACGTAACTGCCCTTCCCCTAAAGAGTTTCCCTTCCCACTAGAAAGAGCTATGAAAGGAAGAACGAAATTAAACATCGCGACTGTTTTGTCACAGCGCAGTGAGTGGCACCCAGGGGCAACCCTCGCACCTGCCGGGTGAACCAACGAGCCTGTCCCTGGAGGGGGTGTTACAAGAGGCTCCCACATTGTGAGACACACTCTCTCACTCATTTTTTGGATTTTCTATAATGAGCATAAGGCTTTTATATCTTAAAAAAAAATTTTAAGGTTGACACATTTTATTTCTTTGCTACATTTGCATCTTCTAGGGATGAAAAGCGGAGTGCTGGCTTTCTTTTCTATAAATCAATAGGGTTGTTCTTGGTATCTCAGGGACTTTCAGCTAGAAGCTTGCTTCTCAAATTCACTAACTGGCTCACCGCGATATTTACTATGAATAAACACTTCACTGGACGCCCACCTCTACTCTTTAATACGTAAGTTGGAATTCGCTCATTATTTTGTAATGGAAGCAACAAATAATGTTTACTCTTCAACTGATGTCATGTTCTCTATCAGATATTAATTATTCAGGATAAATCACCCAAGATCAGTTTCAGAAAAGACAGAAGTTAACACTATTCCTCCAATATCTGAAAGAGAGATCCCATTCTATGGACTCATCTCCCAGGCCACCTGATCTCAGTCCTCTTCTGAGAAAGGGAACTAGTGCATTCCAAACTGACAATGTTCTGTGCCTGCTTAGGCATCTGTAATGGGGCGGGGCCCGGGGGCGGGTGTGCAAGCTCGTCATGCACCCTCACCCAAAAAAAGGTTACACAGGCCAGAGAAGCCCACATTCTTCCACGGAGAACCCAGCCTGGGGAGGCATGGGCGGACAAGGAGACGGGGACCGCCAAGGATACGGCCAGAGGGTCCTCACGTCTGCAGAACTGAAAGCCAGTGCAGTTTTAAATTTTCACTTTATCCTGGACATATTCAGAGGGGATCAGGGTGAAAAAGAATGAAGTGGCTGGAGAAGGGCTCCTCAAAGCTGTCGTCTGCCCTCAGCTCCAGTCCTCGCCTCCGCTCTGCGCTGCTGGAGGTGGACCCGGGAAGACGGAAGCCAGGGTGTGTCTCCCCCAAATCTGGCCTCTCTCCGCCCCGGCTCTCTGCTCTCTGGCAGCGGCCCCAGCTGCCCTTGACATGGTTGCAGTTCCGCGTCTGCGGCTGGCCCTGGCCCAAGGCATGTCACTCCCCAGCCCAGGTGTGGCGGTGGCTCCCTGCCGCCTGCTCCCGGTGCCTCGCTGGGCTCTCGGCACCACCCATCCCTGCATGCCGTGTTCTCTGCCGCAAATGCCTGAAGTGACTCTGGTGTTCCTGGCTGGACAGACCAGCTTCGATGTGTTTTTCTTACAAATTATCCAACCGAAGCAGAAAATCCACGTACTTTTAAAACAAGAAAATAGTTAACGTTCACAACCTGGTGGGTAGCACATCCCTCACGAGGGAAGCGACAGGCAAAGGAGAAGGCAGCAACCCGTTCCCGCTGTCAGGCCCGGAGCACATTAACATGTGCGCATCACAACGCGAAGCCCCTCCACCGGCCCGCGGGGAGCACTCCTGGCAGGGGAAGGGCAATTCGAGCATATTTAGAGTCTAACGCAAATAAAAACTCACAAAGATCCGTGAGAACAGCCAAGGAGGGACGCAGGAACAGTAGCCAAATGGCACAAAATCTTCTAAATCTAAATGTTTGGAATTTTTAAACTAGAATTTTGAAGTATGTGTACATGAAAGGATGTTTAACAGTTTCAACCTTTATCCTAAAATAATTTAGGACAGACATATTTTGAGATTCAAATGAATGGAACACCCCAGCAAATAAAAACATAAAATTTGATATAACATCATCTTATTGTATCTAGAATGAAATGCCAATCTCTAATTTTTATTCTTTTCTAGTATGACATATAAAACTAAACATAGATGATTAAGAAACAACCCACCATGGTGTGTAATTTACATCAAGTGTTTTAAAGTGTATTCTTCCTACAAAGTGAAAAAAAGTGTAGTCTTGCATTTGTTAAAACATATACAGTTACTTGACCCTTGAACAACATGGGGGGGGATTAGGCTCACCAATCCCCTGTGCAGTTCAAAATCCACATAGAACTCTGGCTCCCTCAAACTTACTACTAATAGCCTACATAAACAGTTCACTGACACGTATTTTGTGTATGTATTATACGAGGTCTGTCCAGTAAGTAGCCAGCCATGTAATATGAAAAAGATACATTTATTGAAGAAAATACAAAATACAAGAAACATGGTACATAGGACAATGATACTTCGGTCCCCTTCAAAGTAGGCACCTTGGGACCTCACACAGTTCTCCCAGTCGCCAGCAGCTGCCCCATCGTGTTTTCCTGAATCCCATCAATGGTCTGAAAGCTCTTCCCTTTCAAAGGCGATTTTAGTTTTTGGAAAAGCCAGAAGTCACAGGGCATTAAATCTGGGCTGCAGCAGGGCTGAGTCACCTAGCTGATTTGATGTTTCACCAAAAGACTCTGCACAATATGTGATGCAGGAGCGGGCACGCTGTCATGATGAAGCGGCCAGTCACCAGCTGCCCATAGCTGCGGCCTTCTGAATAATGCGAACAGTTTCCACGGAGGAATGTTCAAACTCAATGCAAAACTGGATGCAGATGCATTGCTCTACTCGCTCAGTCATTTTGAATGTGATGGCCACACAGTACACATGCTCATTCATTGGTGTCTCTTGCCCCACTGACTAGTATAGTGAGGTCTTCATTGTTCACACATGTGCATTCCAGTTCACTCTCTTTGGCTGCCAGGTTATACTGATGTCACGGAAACAGTTCTCATTATACTAACAGCCGTTGGACTTTTTCTGGACAGACCTTGTATAGTATATCCTTACAATAAACTAGGCTAGAGAAAACAAAACGTTATTAATAAAATCAGAGGAAGTGAAAATATTGTACTGTCTTGTATCGATACCGTTAAGTATGCAACATCTGTTTACAAAATGAACTGTCAGTACCTACATCTATTTTGTCTTATATAATACAAACACTGTAGATATTACATATAATACTAACTCTAGACATAAAAAAAATATGAAAAATTCATATTTACAGGTATAACTCATGCATTGCTGACCAAAAAAAGCATCAATACGATTGTTTAATGGTAGTCTAGCCCATACACGAATGAATAAACGATCATAAAATTTTCATGGCATGAAGCATTACAGCTGTATTCATAAAACAGTACTGGGAACATTGTTACATTTTTTTAAAAACCATGTACCTGTGATGCAGTTTCTCCAATTAGGAGAGATAGGTGCATACTGTATAGTGATGTAATTCTTTGAAATTAACATCATAAAACAGTAAGAACACTAACACATTATTAATTTTACACGGAACAGCACGCACCTAATGTAAGGACAGGCTATCCACTTCCATGCAAGTCTTGCGCCCGGTGTTCTACCCGACAAGTGTGGATGATGGCAACCACTCACCAGCATCTCACA